ACTAAAGCTTAAAACTAAGCCTTCGTGGGAGGATGCCCTTAAACAATTATGCAATGCAGAAACAAGAAATATCCCTGGAGTGCACACGAAGGTGTATAGACCTCTGAGGCTAAGCTATGATCACTTGGAAAGTGATGAAGCCAGGTATATCTTTTTGCTTTGTTCTTTGTTCGAGGAAGATAGTGATATTTCGACCGAAGAATTACTTAGATATGGAATGGGGCTTCGCATCTTTTTGGAAGTTAAAAATATAGAAGGAGCAAGAAATAGAGTGTGTCATCTGTTAGAAACACTGAAAGATCGTTTCTTGTTATCCCAAGGTTCAAACAGAAATTATGTCAAAATGCATGATGTGGTTCGTGACGTGGCTATATATATTGCGTCTGAGGGAAAGCATATATTTATGGTAAGTCATGATGTGAACTCAGAAGAGTTCCCAAGAAAAGACTTTTACGAGCAATATAGTCACGTGTCCATTGTTGCAAATAAATTTGATGAGCATCTTAGTCCAAAAATTTGCCCAAATTTGAAGCTTCTAATGTTGAAACTCTATTGTAAAGAGCCAATCAAATTACAAGACAATTTTTTTGATGGGATGAGTAAACTCAATGTCTTAAGCCTGAGTGGATATGAGTCCTCCATTTGGCCTTTTCCAGCATCCATTCAGAGGTTGTCGAATCTGAGGACATTGTGTCTGAGTAATTTAAGGTTGGATGACATATCCATTATTGGTGAACTTGTCACTTTAGAAATTCTCAGCATAAGAGATTCTCTGTTAGAGGAGCTGCCCACGGAAATAGGTAATTTGACCAATCTAATCATGTTAGAGTTGCGGAATGAGAAAAAACCACTGGAAATGATCTCACCAGGGGTCTTATCAAGACTAGTTCGATTGGAGGAACTACATATAATGAAAGTAAGAAATTGTAGTTACTCCACCTTGAGGGAACTAGAATCCTTATCGAGATTGACTGCACTGACATTAAGTGAATGTTCCGGAGATGTGATCTACAGTAACTTGGGCCTTACCTCCAAGTTGACACGGTATGCTCTTACAGTGGGTAAAGCTTACAGAGCAACTTCAAGCATGGATGATTACGACAAGAATATTGCTTTAGAGGTCACCGAGACTGCCCCATTAGGTGATTGGATCCGCCACCTGTTGAGCAAGAGCGAACTTGTACATTCAACCGGAGAGGGAACCAAGAACGTGTTGGCCGAGTTGCAGCTGGATGACTTTCAGAATGTGAAATATCTCTGCCTGAAATGTTTTGATTCATTGGCACATATCCAATGTCAGAATAATGTTTCATTTCCCAAACTCGAAAGACTGGAGGTAAGAAAGTGTCATCGGCTAAAGTATGTTTTTTTTGTGTCCTTGGATGGAGGAAGTTCAACAGTAGCTTGCCTTGATGATGAGGAAGCCGAGATCTCTCGGAGAACACATGAAGTAATCAAGTTCCCCAATTTATATGATTTGAACCTTCTATCTCTCGAATGCCTCACTCACTTTTGCAATGACACTATTGATGGCATTGAGTTCCCTCGGTTACGGAAAATGAACTTCATGAACTTACCTGAGTTCAAAAATTTCTGGCCTACAACCAACAACTTCATCACTGGCTCAAATCCTCTTTTTGATGAAAAGGTCTGCTTCTACTGCTCTAGTGCAGGATCTATTTTATTTTTTTTAATCAATAAAGCAAGTTTCTATTGTGAGTCATCGATCATGAGTAGTATTTCTTCTTATCAGTTTAATATTTGATATGTGAGTCATTGATCCACATGATATTAACTCATTTTTTTTGCAGGTTTTTTGTCCCAACCTGGAAAAGCTACAACTCATTAGAGCTAACAACATAAGTGCTCTATGCTCTCACCAACTCCCAATTGCCTACTTCAGCAAACTTGTAAAACTGAAAGTAGATAGTTGCGGAAAATTGAGAAACTTGATGTCTCCATCAGTGGCCAGAGGTCTTCTGAATCTCCGGAAACTAAAGATAGAAAATTGTGAGTCGATAGAAGAAGTGATCACAGAAGAGGAACAACAAGGAGAAGAAATCATGACTAATGCGCCTTTATTCCCTCTGTTGGAACTTCTGAACCTTGACAATCTGCCAAAGCTAGAGCATTTCTTTCGGACGAAGCATGCTCTTGAATTTCCATTTCTCAGGGATGTGTGCATTCATGACTGCCCTGAAATAAAGACATTTGTCCAACAGGGATCTGTGAGTACACCGAGTCTCAAAAGTGTGAACAATGATGATGAGGTGAAAGTAGATGATATCAATAAAGTGATGTTCAATTCTAAGGTTTGTCTTGTGCCGCTAGCTGTATAACTAATTACTTATATGGACTTGGGTAATTCTCCCCTCTTGAGTTAGCTTTTGGGGTTAAGTTAGGCACATATGTCATTTCTTTGCAATTTTCATTCCAAATTCTCCATTTCCGTTATCTGATCTTTCATTTTCATACCAATTTCTACATTGCCGCTCTTTCAGCTTTCAAAGTTACTACTTTTCTACCCAACTATTAAACTAAATGGAGTCGATACTTCATCCCTTTAACGTTTGCAGGTTTCTTGTCCCAGCCTGGTGAAGCTAGTAGTCGTTGGGGTTAACAACATAACTGCCCTATGCTCTCACCAACTTCCAACTGCCTACTTTAGCAAACTTGAAACGGTGTACATATCGAATTGTGGAAAATTGAGAAACGTGATGTCTCCATCAGTAGCCAAAGGTCTTCTGAATCTCCAAGTATTAATGATAGAAGCCTGCCAATCAATAGAAGAAGTGATCACAGAAGAGGAACAACGTCAAGGCGAAGAAATCATGACTAATGAACCTTTATTTCCCCTGTTGGAAGAGCTGGTGCTTTGCAAGCTGCCTAAGCTGAGACATTTCTTTCTCGCGAAACATGCTCTTGAATTTCCATTTCTCAGAGTAGTGTGGATTAATAGTTGCCCTGAAATGGAGACGTTTGTCCGACAGGGAATATCTGTTAGTACACCCCAACTCAAATGGATGAACAATGATGTTGAGGTGAAAGTAGATGATCTGAATAAATGGACACGACATGCGTTCAATTCTAAGGTTTGTCTTGTGCTGCTAGTTGTATAACTAATTAACTCCAGCGCTTTCTTTCCGTATTAACTAGTATTCCACTACTTAGTTCTCTCTTCTCTGTTCCCAGGAACAAAATGCTAGTCAAGGCACTACCGATGGCAACCAATCTGAAGCTAGAGATGGCGACAAATCTGAAGCTACTGATGGCGATGAATCTGAAGTTACCGAGTCTCAAAAGGGTGAACAATGACTTGGGGTGATGGCAATGAAGCTGAACCTAGTCATGGCAGAAGCTAGGAAGGTAATAAGTATTCGATGAAATAGTCCAAGTTAGCTTGAACATCACATGATATAACCTATAGGGTTGTTAGTTGATTTTTGAAAGAAAGGGTGGATCTTGAAGAAGCGATATGAGCTTAGAGTATCAGCTTATTACGTTTTATCAGGCCCCTTTGATATCTTATTAGTCAAGTGCTAGCGCCCCTTTAGTCTGATCTACATTGGAACAAATGAGTCTACGTGACCATGTATTTGTATTAGCCATATCTATAAATGAGTTGACTTTGAACACTGATATTATTGCATATCAACTTGTGCTCTCTCTAGGATTCAATAAACTTCAAATTCTAAAATCGTCTCTTATATCTAACATCTAATATGTAGATTTGTTTTCTCTTCTCATCTTGCATTTATGTCCTTTTGACAGATTTTAAAGAATACTTTCTAGAGATGCTTTGTAAAATACTTCTTTTTTTGGAGTAATTTCAACTTAGATGATTTCTTTCATATGTTGAAGAAGTAATGGGGTTTGTATGGGATGTTCCCCAAAATAAATAATTAAAACTACAACAATCGCTCTATCAATTTATTCACTCGTTGCATTTAGACTATATCAACGAATACAATCCAAAAAATATAATAAACGTTATTGCTCTAATTTCACTTATATTCATTCGCTTTTACCTTAATATACTGATGGTAAAAAGAGAAGGAGAGAGAGAGGAGTGAGAAAGAGGAGAGAGACGAGCGAAATTGGCAGAGAGGAGAACAGATGCTAACATTTTGGACAAATTAGGAGAACCATCAATTTTATGCCTTATTTATTTTCAAATATGAATTTTTACTTTGGAAACTAATATATATATATATATACTATTTTTAGTTTTTTAAAATTCCGCGAGAAGAAAAAAAGGTGAAACACCCACTTAAGAAGCAAATACTCCCTCTGTCCCCATTTAGATAGACATTAAACACTTTCTATTTTACATAATAATTAAAAAATTATTAATAGATCAATCAATTTTAATATAAAACGGACAGATCATATAAATACCCCTTTAAATTTTTCACAACAATTAGGTTCATCTTTTAATTTTATCAATGACTTGATAGACATTACATTTATGAATTTTAATTGTTTTTTCAATGTTATCAACTTAGTGTAGTTTTTCCTAAATATAAAGCAGCTGTTTTTTTTGGGTCCCAAGAGTGAAAATAACACATACTAGCAATCAATAACTTCTTTGTGACACACAAGGCTTTAGGTTTGAGTCGGAAAAAACTTAACCGCACCGGGTGTTTACACTAAGTTAATGCAGTTTTCATTATTACGTAATTTAATGAAGTAAAACACATGTAAATTAATTATGGTTAAGTAAAATGAACTATAAATTTAAACACATGGCATGCATGTATTGGTTTGGTGTAAACACCCGGTGCGGGTAAGTTTTACCTGTTCGAGTCTAATTAACATCATAGTTTCTTAGATAGAAAACATTTTATTTCCTTTCAAACAAGTCAGAAGTTAAGTAATTTAAAATTACTGAATTATACACCGTCAATATATTATTTATTTATTAATATAACTACAAAATCTGAACTAAAATTATTGAATCAAACCCATAATCAAAATTCTAGCTCCGCCCGAATCTCAAAAGCAAACAAAAGGAAAAAGGAAAACAAATGTCATCTCTTATCTAGACATGAAAGCAAGTTGCCAAGTCCATAAAGATACCGCTAGCAAAAATATCCCTAAAAAATGAACCAATATCCAACACTAGATATTTTTTTAAATGAAACAAATAAAGACAAAAATACCCCCTACTATAATATATCTTAAACTTCCACAATTCCATTAGTCATTCCAATTTTCCCACAAATAAAAAAAAAGTATGTCACATGAGGATATTTCTGAATGGCAACAAATCCCATATTCTTCATCTTCAACTAGAACCAATAATAATAACAATAATACTCAAATAGCTTCTGATGAAATGACTATTTTGCCCTTGATTGAGGATATTACTATTGATAATAATAATAGTAATGATGAAGATGATGAGAAGGGTGAATATGGAAATAAGTGGTTGAAAAAGAGTTTAAGAGAATTGAGTTGTTGGATTGTTCAAGTGACTTCAAAGATGAGAAATTATGCTTCTTCTAAAGTTGGAATTGGAAAATTCACTTATAATAGTAGAATATTGACATTTCTTTTGGTTCCATTGTTTTATTGGATGATAAAGAAAAAATGGAGGAGGCAAAGACAAATTGATAATACTTCTAACAAACTTATGCTACTTGTCCAAGAAAAAGACCAGGTATTTATTTAACTTCTTCTCTTCTTTTTTTACCATTTTTTGTTCTTTTAGAACTCGTTTGGTAGGAGGAATAAGAGATAAATAATCTCGAGGTTAATTTTAGAATGAGTTTATATCTCATATTTGATTAGAATAAAATTATGAGGTAGCTTATTCTGGAATTGTAGTTAAGGGTGAAGTGTGAGGGTGTTCACTGGAAATCTATTAGTAAAAAAAAATTATATTGTATATGTTGGATAGATATCTAGGTATATGTGTTATGAATATATTATAAATTGTGATCTTCTAAGGTTTGAACAACAGTAAATCAGTAAATGATTAGCTTAGGAATTCGGAATATTTAGAATGCACCACAATGTCCAAGATTTGATTCTTAGGGATTGCGTTATTTTTTATATTTTTATTTTTCATACACATAGAAAAATGGGATAACAATTCTAAATATATGATGCACCTATAAATAGGGAATTGGATTTTTTTCTTATGTAATGATGCACCTGTAAAGATCTATTGTACAACTAACATATACTCAACAGAAATTTAAAAGTATTTTGTTCTGTATTTGTCTCGTACATGCTATAATATATAAATAAAAATTTTAACTTGATCTTCAATTTTTAAACTTATTTTTACTGTGTTAATTAAACATTCTAACTTACAAAATAATCATCTAGACATTTTCAAAATTTATGTGTGACGGGTTGATGTATCTAAATATCCATTCTCAAAATTAGAATGTTTAGTATCAGTTAAAATCAAGTTAAAATGTCTATATATTTATGTATTAGGTCTTCTAATTACAAGAAACTATCATTATTGCAGAAAATCGAACAATTATCGCTCCAAATTAGCCAGATGAATGAGTCCCTTCTAACACGGCGAAAAGTTCCGGTCCTTCAAGTAGGCTAATATATACACTACCCATTAGTTGTTTGTTGTGCAAGTATATAGTTAAAGAAGATATCTTATTAGTATTTGGTATGAAATATTATGTACTCTTTTTAAATGCAATGCTTTCTTTCTTTTACTTTCGGAGGAGATATAGAAAGTGTGTCGTGTTTAGATTTGGTATCAACTGGTATATGTATTCTTTTATTTTAGAGGTGTACAAGTACATATTTAAAGTCGTATAAAGTTAAACTAGTAGATATACATGTCATCCTACATGACATAATACACGTAAGACGTCATGTAAAACCGTAAAATTTTCAGGTAGGACGTGTGTGTTTACTTATTCAATTATATACAAATTTACATATTTACTTGTTCATAATCAAAGTTGGAGAATATAAATGCTAGTTTAACAGTTGGTTATCGTCATATTTAAAGCCTTCTTATTTCTTTAAACACTTTTACATTTGGTTAATATCACAGATGATCACTGTGTTTTATCTATTATAATAAATAATGTTTTAAGAAAAATTATATTAAAATAATTGAACTTTACGCACTAAAGCAAATGAATTGTATAAACGGATGGGTATAAACTAGTCGTCAATGAGGTTGACGACAAATCGGTTTGATTTTTCTAAGAAAAAAATCTGCTTTTCATCTGAATGGTTTCGAAAATAAAATAAATATACTTAAATAAATAATTTTATGTGAAAATTCTTGAATTATATCTTAATGAAATTGCCACTACACAATAATTTAATAATGCCTCATTAAACATTTAGTTTAAATATATCTTTTCTGTTATACTTTTGGTTCAAGTATATTTCTCTCATTATATTCTGGCACTAATTTGTTCTTAATTTTGACAAAGAAACATGCAGAAAACTTATAATCAAATTAATCCACCTTCAATTTTAAATATCCGATTTCTTTAGAAATTCACCATTTAACCCATCTCTAACCTATTCCCTCCCTTTAGCCCTTTTCTATTTTTTTTAACGAAAAAATTTAGTGAAGTGATTTTGAAAGATAAAAACACTATAAGTGGAATGATTTTAGTGAGGCATTACCAAGTTCAGTGATTTTATTACATAATTTTTTGTTGAGTCAACGAGATATTAACTCTTAACTTTCAGTGAAAATTCAATTAATTATATATTTAAAAACTATTAATTAAATAAGTACATGTAAATTACTGATACAAGTTGTGTTGCAATGACGAGACAATTCCATTTGAGATCTGGGATTCAAGCCTTCGAAATAAAGAAAATTTTGTTGGGAGCGCTAATTCATAATGAACTCAGTATGCAATTCAAATTTAATCGGAGCTTCGTACGGACATGAAAATAAAAAAAAATAAAAATACTCATAAATTATTAATATTAATATACTCGTAGTTAAAGTATTATTTTTAAAAATTAGGAGTAAAAAAATCGTAAAACTAGTTGAGGTTACAAATACAGTGACAGACTAAAGTGATTGGACAGAAAGGGCTACTAAACTTTATAAAATTCACTTTCAAGGCCCTACATTTTACAATTGATTTCAAATAAGTCCATCTTTCTCCGGCGAACTCCTCGGGATCTCCTTTCCTTCCTCCGACGTAATCCAGCCGTAAGTTCCGCCATTTCCATTCTACATTTCCTGCTCTTTTTTCAGATAAAAATCCTAGTTCCTCTTATGTATTCCATTTTGCTTCACATTTCGTAAAAGCTACGAATTTTTGGGGGTTTAGTTTTTGCTCTCTCCGTTTCGAGTATTCGTATATCGTAATCTGTTTTATTGGCTTCTACAGCTACATAATATACTGTGATCTTTCTAATAATTCAAACTGCTAATTAGTCAAGTTAAAATATTACTTATAAAATTCACTAATTTTGAGAATTAATTTTTGTCTGGTAATTAGTGATTTGCTTGTTCACTAAGTTTATTAAATTAAATACTGCATCTTTTCCTATGTGAGCTAATTTTTAGGCATTATTTGGCTAGTGATGTTTATTATAATAGTTACATACTATCAGGACTTTCAAGCAGTCAAATTTATTTAATTATTCAGATTTTAAGCTTTGATGTGATCTGTTTTTCTATTTTTTCAGATGAAAATGACTTTTTCAAGTAAATTTAATGTGCAGTACAATATAATTCATGTTTATAATAGTGTAGAACCTATTTTGACTAGTAATTGAAAACATATTAGTATATAATTACATGTTAATAAAATAAACTATCTAATATCAAATCCTAACCAATTTTGGTTTCTTATTCCAACCTTGAATTAGTCTTCCAACATTCTCCCGTTATTCAAAGTTATATTTCCAATTGTTGATGCACTAGTCACCAACCTCCATTTTTATGCACTTGTCACCAAACTTCAATTGTTGAAACACTTGTCTCCAACTCTCAATTGTTGATGCACTCTGTAACCAACTCGTAATTGTTGAAGTACTTGTCTTCAACTTTTTTTTTTTCTTTTTGTTTTGTTGATGCATTTGTTGCCAACCTCCAATTGTTGAAGTACTTGTCTCCAACTCTCGACTGTTGATGATCAATATATTTTTTCATTTGTTTATGCACTTGTCATCAACTTTCTATTGTTGGTGCATTTTTCACCAACATTTAGAAATAATTTCTTCCTTTTGTGCTATATTTGCTTGCTCCTTTATAAACATGTTTGCATTTTTTCTTGATCCTATATCAAATTTTCACTGTCGACAATTTTCTGTGAGTTTGCGACCGTAATCCTTGTCCACAGGGGCGACATACGTTGGCTAGTGCCCCTGCGTCAACAAAAGTTATTTGATACTCTACTAAGATTGTAGAAACTTTGATACCTATAAGAATGAAATTGATTTCAGAACCTCATAAATTTGTTAATGTTCTCCATAAATCTTCTCTACTAGAAAATAAGTAATAGCACACCTACTTAGGCATGAATTGAATAAATTAACCAGTAACAAATCCTAACCAGTTTTGGTTTCTTACTCCAACTTTAAATTAATATTCCAACAAAATGTTTTCTTCTGTTACCACTTACCACTAGTATAATATATAAATCAGATTAAAAAATTAAGTCAAAACCCGTGTAAATATTGGAATGTACAAAATCATGGCCGAAGTGTTGGTTGAAAGATTGAAGGTGAGAGATAAGTTGATCAATACACATTAGAGGGCCTTCATAAAAGGAAGACAAATTATGTATGCTGCTTGATAGCAAGTAAGTATGTTGATACTAGACTGAGAGGTGTGGATCCTGGAGTAATGTAAATTGGAAATTGAGAAGGCTTATGACCATCTCGATTGGAATTTTCTACTCAGTATTGTCAGGGACTCAGATAGATGGGATTTGACAGCAGATGGCTGAAATGGATTGAATTCTGCATCAAAAACACTAGGTTCTTAATTCTGGTTAATGGAGAATCAGCTTTTTTTTTTCAGCAGAGAGGGGGCTCATACAGGGAGATCCCCTATCAGCTTTCCTCTTTATCATAGCTATGGAGGAATTCAATAGTATATTGAAGATTGCCACTCAGAGCATATGGTTACAAGGCTTTTGAATTTGAAAATGGGCAGATGAGACACTGTAAATTTGCCACCTGTTGTATGTAGATGACCCTGTAATTTTTTATGATGCTAATCCTGAGCAACTATCTTAGGATGATGCTAGTTATTTTTGAAGCTACATATGGAGTGTAAGTTAATTGAAGGAAAAGCAACATCTTTCCTATTAAGGATGTTTCACAGATGCATGTTGCTGACAAATATTCTGGGGTGTGGGGTGGAAAAGTTGCCTACTGTATATCTTGGAATGTCATTGGGATCAAAACACAAGGCTCTTGAGATTTAGGATGGCATTATAGAGAAGATAGAAAGAAGCTTGCAATGTGGGAATCTCAGTATCTCTCTTTAGGAGGCAAGTTAATTTAATCAACTCTTTTTTGGATTCTTTATCAACATTTGTGATGTCCTTATTTCCCATGCCAAGAAAGGTAATCGAAACTCTTGACAGCTTGAGAAGGAACTTTCTGTGGCACGGTTACAAAGAGGCCAAAAGTTTCAATTGGGTGAAGTGGGAAACAGTCCAACAGAGCAGAGAGCAAGGAGATAAAGGGTTAGAAACTTGAAGCTATAAAATAACAGCTTACTCATGAAATGGTTATGGAGGTATAATGAGGAGGGTCAATCTCTTTAAAAAGATGTAATCTATAGAAGTATGGGCAGAATGGACAATAGTGTATTGATGAAGTCACAAACACTTTTAGAGTTGGAGTTTGGAGAACTATCAGGTTTTTATAGACACCCCTGATGAGGAATATAAGCTACCATGTGGGCAATGGAAGAAAAATACTCTTCCGGAAAGACAATTGGACTGGGCAAGGAACTTTGCTGGAGACCTTCCCTGGACTATTCTATATTTGCACCAATTCAGATATCACAATAGAAGAGATTTGGACAACATAAGGTTGGAGTCTTGTTTTCAGGAGATTGTTGAATGATTGGGAAGCGGAAAGGGTGGTTGAACTGTTAGAAAGAGCGGGAAACTTTACTGGGGCAACTACTGACTTGACACCATCAGATGGAGGCACAATGAATATGGGCAATTCTCAGTAAATATAGTATACAAGAGGGGCCTGTCTGAGTTGGCAGGAAGTTTCACGGGTCTATAGCATGGCACGAACAAAGGCTAAATGCTTTTTATGGTTGGTGGTGAAGAAAGAATGTCTTACTCATGAAACACTTTAGAGGAGGAAAATCCAGAGATGCTCTCTATGTATGGAGGCAGCAGAAACTAATAACCATTTGTTATTGCACGGTAGGTAACATCATCAGAAGTCTAGGCACTTTTTATCTGTTTGGCTAGGGAGGAATGGACAATGCCAGAGCATACCACAGACTTACTGAGCTGCTGGATCAGAAGGAGTGGGAGTAAGAGTAAAAAAAAGTGGTGGAAAACATTACCAACATGTATTCGATGGAACATATGGAAGGAGAGAAATGAAAGGATCTTTGAAGGCAGATTCAGTTCCATACAAAAGATCAAATGGAAATGTATTGCCTCTTTATGATTTTACTGTAAAGAACAATGTATATTAGGAGGAAGTACAGATAATGGACTTCTTAGGAGTTCCTTAGTTAACTTCTCCTTGTAAACTCATTTTTTGGAGGTCGCCAGCATACCCTTAA